ATAGATAAACTATTTATCCACATGAAGGGTATCCTCCGGGAGCATATCCACCGCCATCATGTCCTCCTCTACATGATAATCCAGGACAAGGACAACCCCAACCCAATTCTGCATATCCTCCACACGAATACTCTTATGGCTATTCTTATCCTTCACAAGGATATCCCTATCCCTATCCCCATCCCTACCAAGGTTACCCTCCACAAGGATACCCACCCCTACAATACCCTCACACAAACCCTCAAAATCAATGTACCTACGTCGTGGTTCAATCCCAACAACAGCAACAACAACAAACCTATAGTTACTGGGAAAGCTGGTAAGTTCCGTTCTCCTTTTTATCTCGACCTTTTTTTTTGTCTTTCTCATAGTCGAGAACTCGAAAATATATTGAACTATCCAACTCGATCTAAGCTATAGTTAGGTCACTAATGTAATTGGATTGACTTGAGTTTTATTACGTCCAATCTCGATTTCGATTAAGCTTGTTTCTCGAGCTTTTGATTTCCGTATAGTTTTAGTTACAATATCATTCTGGTTCCTATACTTTACTTCGACTTGAGCTTTTGGTTTAAATTGAAACTTTGGCAGCTTGGCTCTCATTTGTTGTTGCTGCCTTTGGAATCTTGGGCTTGGATGTCTCTATTGATGAAGAGCTTGAATGGTATTCCATTGAATGAAAATGGAAATAATTGTGTAATTAATTTTAATAATTTGTGTATTAAGACGGGTCGTGTCAAAATTTTTCTTATATATCTATAGTAATGTCGCAAATATTAAGTGACGGAGTACGTTTAACTCAACTTTTAGAACATTCACAATTTCGAACAAAACCTAGACATTCGACTAAGAGAAAAACTCAACGATAAGTTACAAAACACAATAGTAAAACTAGTGTCAAAGCTTGCCAACGAAGAGAAAAACTGAACGATAAGTTGAATTATTGAGTGTTTATACGACCCTAGACTTTCGACTAAGATCTCGAGATGATCTAATTTGAATAAATTTTAGAGGAGCTATCATTCTTGAAGTGTTTCTAGGACTAGTCTGTAAAATCCACTCATTGAAAGTTTGAATCACGGATGTAACTATTGATGCAGATTATTAAAAAAAAAAAAAAACATACCAAAAAGCAAACGGTTCTTTAAAATAAATAAAAACATGGGCAAACAGACTCAAGTCGAGATGGGATTCTCTGAAGTCTCCAACTTAGTTGTATCATAGTCTCGGTCACCCTACGTCAGACTTATCTAGAAAGACGAACGTAAATAAATTTGATGAGTAAATTAGATTAATAAGTAGCTAAGTTGTCCTTAACAAGTTATATTGACTATCTTTCCAGTTAATTCTTAAGTTTTTTTTTATCCCGTGGTTCCTACTTTCATTTACTAGGACCTGTGGTTCATTAAAAGGTATTCCGACTAACTTTAAGTTTAGATTGTTGGCTCTATTTATTCGTAGACCCATCTACCTAAACTCTTTAGCGGCTTGTAATATTATATAAGTTGACGGTCAGAAATACTCATTGCTCCAACTTAGCATACAGTGCGTTTCTCAAGAATTTTGCGGGATTAGTAGACTAAAGATACTCATAGAGAGCTCGTAACCTAATCAACTCATAAACATAAACTAGAGTCATACAACCTATATTTCCATTTCGAATTTGAAGCAGCCACAAATCTTAGACCGGCATTTGTAGATATCATAAATTAAATGATGCCACTTACTCATATTTATTATATAAAGCTCCCAGTCACATAATCAATATGCTATCAGCATGCTTATATATATAAAACAAGTTAAGAACTCGTTTAAGAGTTCCAATATGCTACTTAGCTAACTCCTTTCTTCTCGTAATTTACTATAAATAGGGTAATTTTATCACAGTTTCTCTCGGACTTACATTTCACAATTTTCAAAGTCAATATGGTTTAATCTTGATAGAATGGGTCAAAAGGAGTCGAACAGGACAAACCAAAGTCAAATCTGAGGTCACACGTGCTCTCTGATCCTGTCCCACGTGCCTAAAGCTTTGCCCAGTTGCACTCTCACTCGCAGCCACACGCACATGCACCTCAACACCTATCATCTTCAGCCTCGTGCCCGACCTATAATATTCTAGATCTTTTCATTAATTATCTTTATGTCCCTACTCGATAATTTCATCCTAAGGTTCAAATTTCTCTCTGGTTCCTTCTACAATATTATTGATCTCATTGCCACAATTCCAATGAGCTTAATTTTAACTTTTATTAATGAACATACATTAAGTTATCTGAATTCAAAACTAAAAATTAGATGCATATTAGTGAAGACAAAATATGTTGGAAGAACTCGTGTTCGCTTGTAGAGATAGTCTTTACTCTTAGAAGCAAAGAGTAAGTAATCTGACCATATTGCAACGGGATGTAAGGGAATGTCAGGACACAAGTGCAAAATCCAAAATCTAAATCTTACATGTGGGTCGATACAATTACAACAAGTTAATACGTGAATGTGATTTCTTCAAAGATAAGTTGTAACGACCGAGGCCCACCACTAGCCGATATTGTCCTCTTTGGACTTTCTCTTTCGGGCTTCTTCTCAAGGTTTTAAAACACAGAGAAAGGTTTCCACGTTTATAAAGGTAGTTTCGTTCTCCTCCCCAACCAATGTGGGATAACACAATCCACCCCCCTTCGGGGCCAGCATCCTCACTAGCACTTGTTTCTTTCTTCAATCGATGTGGGACCCTACCAAATCCACCCCCCTTCGAGGTCCAGCGTCCTTACTGACACATCGCCTCGTGTCTACTCGTTCGAGAAACAGCCTCCTCACTAGCACATAGTCCAGTGTCTAGCTTTGATGCCATTGTAATTCTAAAAAACACATTTTAAAGCCTTGAAGGAAAGCCCAAAGAAAACAATATCCGCTAGCGGTACATATGTAATAGCCAATTATTTTGAAAATTATAATTAAAAAGAAATGAAAATAAGGGTCAAAATTTTCAAAATAATATTATATTCCATAAATTTCCAATCCAATATTATTGCAAGTTTAAAGTTATATTATTGCAAGTCAATAATCTTGTCACTTTCTTCATTTTTTTTTTCCTTTTTTTTACTATATAATAATGATTAGAATAAAGTGTAAAGATCTTCACAAAACAAAATCAAACCAACTAAAATCAAGGGATTCATTTTATTTTTATAAATAAAATTATTATTTGGAAATAAAAATTTTAAACCTTAAAATTGAGATTTGAAACTAAATTTCACTTCAAAATTTTCAAAAAGTTTTATCGTATTTACCAAATTTCATAAATTGTGATGTCCCACGTTGGTTGGGAGGAGAACAAACCACCATTTATAAGGGGGCGGAAACCTTCCTCTAGCAGACAGACGCGTTTTAAAGCTTTGAGAAGATCACCGAAAGGGAAAGCTCAAAGAAGATAATATCTGCTAGCGATGGATCTGGGGCGTTATTAAGAGAATAGTGAAGACGAGAGAGAAAAAATTGATAGAGGTAAGAGATTAAATCAAAGAGAGAAATAATTTATAAGGTAATAAACGATTGCAATCCATATATATTGTCACTCAAGTAAACGGGGGTAGAAATGAAGGAACCAACACGACATCTGAACGAAAATGATATTAAGAATAGGATGAATAAGAAAGATTTAAAAATTACTATTTTTAACAACGAGGTGCACCTTCCCCTTCCATGACTTAATCATATGAACTTCATATTTAAAGATGTTTTACGTGAAATTGTTAGGAATCACGACCCTCCATAATAGTATAATATTGTCCACTTTCAACATAAGCTCTCGTAACTTTATTTTAGCGTTTTCCTAAAAGATATCAGGGCTATCAAGTGTCAAACCTAAATTTAATTCCGAGCGGATTTAAATTCAATTTGAAAAGGGTAAAAAAAAAGAAGAGAAAAGAAAAAACATGATTTTCATAAAGCATCATAATCAAAATAATAATGCAGCCACGTGGTTTAGGTGTATATGGAGATGAGCTGAGCTGTAAAATCAACATCTAATCATGTGTGGTGCGCCCCACCCATTTTATTGTACGTTTTCTTTATTATTACCGTCAAAGTTAATCTAAATATTTCAATGCATCGGGACCGTTCATTTTATGCCTAGGTCGCTGACGTGGCAGTATTGGTTTCTTCGATGACCGACATCCCTTTCATTATACAAATTTTCATTATCTCCCAATAAAATTAACCTTTAAATCTTTTCAACATTTAAATCTAATCTAATTTAATTTTAAGTTTTTTAGTTTAAATTGTGATAAATCTAAATAATTATTCTAAAATAAATAATTTTAATAAAATTATATAAACTTCGTAGATCATAAATCTTATACCTTATAATAATTTATTAATAAAATAATAATATGTCTTAAAATTTAATATAATTTTCCTTTATTAATAAGTATATTATAAATAATATGCATTAAATTTTAGATATTTTGTCTAAAAAATAAACATACTCCCCCGCTTTTAACTTTATTTAAAAAATACTCATAAACTTTCAAAATTTTCAATAATATCCTTATATTTAAAAAAAAAAAATCGAACAAATACCCTTACACAATTATTTTTGGATGAAAATGTTAATACTTTAACTCTAAAAATGCAAAAAGTGTTAAAAATAAAAATTTTATTAATACTCGGAAACTTATTAATAATTTATAAAGTGTTGATAAACGAATTTTGTCTATATATTGACGATAAAAAAGAATTTAAACTTTTTTTAATAAAAATTAATGATATTGAGTATATTTTTTTTTATACATAACACATATTATTTATATTATCAAAAAAATTAAAAGGATATTAATGAAAAATTATTTAAAGGTTTTTTTTTTCTATTAATTTAGTTTTAAAAAGTTTAAGAATATAACGAAATTTGTTGTAAACTACTAACGCAATATTTAAAAGTTTGAAGGAGGGAATATAAAAAATTCAAACTCGAAAATAAATAAAAAAGAAAATAAAAATCCGGACACAAAGTAATTCTTTATTCAAATAGTTTTCATAGTTATAGCTCTCTGGTTTCTCTGTTTGGCTACTAATAAAATCCATCCGATCGCGCAAGAAATCTCCGAGAGAAAGTAGTGGAAGAAAATGAGTTACTACAACCAGCCTCCGCCTCCCGTCGGCGTTCCTCCGCCGCAAGGTAACATCTAAACCAATGCTCTTAGTTCTGATGCATTTTCTTGAATTCCTAAGGTTCAAATCGAACGGATCGTGCTGTGTATGAGTAAAAAACGATTTACTCTTTGTTTTCGTCTCGCTTTCGTGCTTCGATTTGACCGATTTCCGGATTTGATCCTGTGAATGTCGATGATTTTAGGTTATCCGCCGGAAGGTTATCCGAAGGACGCTTATCCGCCTCCAGGACATCCGCCGCCGGCTGGTTATCCTCCTGCTGGTTATCCACAGGCAGGATATCCGCCTCCGGCTTATGGACCGGCGTACGGTCAACCTCCGCCTCAATATCAACAACAACGGCAAGAAGTTGGATTCCTCGAAGGCTGGTAAGTATTTGCGTCTATTTAATTTTGATCTTCCTTGATCCGATTTAAACTGCGTTTTTCGAATTGAAATTGAGGCGATGCGTCGGAGATTGTTAGTTTAGGAAATAGTGTTTGCGTTGGCTGTTAGTGTTAGTGGATTGATTGCTGTTTTGGTGTTGAGGAATTTGGAAACCGTCGAGTCGTAAAAACTGACACAGGTTGGAAAGATATTGCTCACATGAACAGAGGCGCAGATTTCGGTGATTTGTCGAACCCTTTTTCGTTTCGGTGGAACAAAAAGTGCTTTTCGTTTTCTTTCCTTTTTCAAACAAAAAATGCGTTCCAGAAGGGTCTTTTTGTCATTTTTTAAACTTTGAATTTGTTTAATATTTATTTTAAACCTCAATTTTTTTAAATAAAAATTTTAGTCTAACTATATACAAAATTAAAATTAATTTCGGTCCATTTTTTCGGAGTACGTAGAACTCAATTCGAGCAATATTATAGTTAAACTCAGAGATATCCACTAGACATCTACCTCTGTCCATTGTCTCCACTTCCTACTTTAATTCTCTTCCGGTAAATTTTTCAATTTATTTTTGAAGGAATCCGACAGAATGTTTTGGAAATTTGTGTGGATTGAATTCTAGCAAGAAAAATTCCTATATATTGTGATGTCCCACATTAGTTGGGGAGGAGAACAAACCACCATTTATAAGGGTGCGGAAACCTTCCCCTAGCAGACGAGTTTTAAAGCCTTGAGGGGAAGCCCAAAAGGGAAAACCCAAATAGGATAATATCTACTAGCAGTGAATCTAAGCCGTTACAAATGGTATCAGAGCCAGGTTCCTGACGTTGTGCCAGCCTTCTCGCTGGTCCCCGAAAGGTGATAGACACGAGGCAGTGTGCCAGTAAGGACGCTGGGCCCCAAAAGGGGTGGATTTGGGGCGGTCCCACATCGATTGGAGGAAGGAAAGAGTGCCAGCGAGGACGCTGGGCCCCGAAGGGGGGTGGATTGTGACGTCCCACATCGGTTGGGGAGGAAAACAAACCACCATTTATAAGGGTGTGAAAACCTTCCCCTAACAGACACGTTTTAAAGATAAGTCTGAAATCTAATTCTATCCCATCTCACGTTTATGGTTTAAATAAAACTTATTAAATGTACCTCTCTAAATTGGGTTCATTGGGTTGAATGATTTATTGAGATTCCATTTGATTGAGGTGATTCAAATGAAAAATTGAATATGGAATATATAAGAGAAGTGTAGTTTAGAAGTAATTAAAAGTTTGTTTGTGAAATTGACAGTGTGGCTGCTCTTTGCTGTTGCTTCGTGTTGGATGCTTGCTTTTAAGGACAGAAGCAGGAAGCTTTTTGTGAGTGAGTGAGTGATCATATGGTGTATGAAATTTTAATTTAATATCCAATATCGCAATGGCTTTCTCTATCTTTATATTCTTATTTATACCAACTCTATTTCTCTTCATATATCTTGAACCTTGCTCCTAAACTATATAGATGTTAAGCATTTATTACCTCATTTTTGTTGGATGAAAGTTCCACTTCGAATAATTTAGGAATGATTATGAGTTTATAATAAAGGAACACTCTCTCCAAGGATACGAGGTCTCTTGGAGAAGCCCAATACAAAGTCATGAGAGCTTAAACAATGTCATAGTGGAGAGTCGTATTCAATTTAATGTCTATAGTTCAATATACATTGTCAACATGAATCTTTATATATATGGTTAATATAAACGGTTGAGGATTGCTTGGAGAGAAGTTCTACATCCGGTAAAGTAAATAATATATCTCTATTACTATAATGTTTTTTAGGGAAAATAAAAACAAAATCACGAGCTTAGCCTCAAAGTGCAATATCATACTATTTTAGAAGTTTGATATTCAACAATATGGTATCAGAGTCTTGACATTAACTTAGTCATTTCGATCAAATTCTCAAATGTTGAACAATTATTCTAGAGCTCTAGAGAAGGGAGTTGAGTCTCAATTAAGGAGAAATCTAGTATCTAACACGAATAGAACTTAGAAGATTGAACCTGGGCTAATGTAGGCCTATGAGAAAGAATGTATTTTGAAAATAAGAAAATCAAAAGGCCCAAAAAAGAGATGATCGTACGGTCAACGATCGAGAGTAAGACTTTGACCTTCTCTTTCTTTTCACATTTTTTAAGCCTACTGGATTCCGTTTCAAACGATTTTCATCAATTTTCACGATTTCTCTCAATGTAGGATATTTTTGAAACGTTTTATGATATTTGGAATTTTTGGAAGGTCCAAACTCGAGTAAAAGGTGTCATGCATACCAAGCAAGTGGTAACTCGAAACTTTGAATTTTACTATGCTTGTAATATATATGAAAAATGTGATATAAGAACTGTGTGATATAAATTTGAGCTTGAACTCAGTTGATTTGATCTATTAAAAGTATGTCCAATTCATATGATGCACATTTGCAATGAATGAACGAACTGAATGAAGCTGTAAACATGACTAGGTATTCATATTTAGATTGTTATACTAGTCTCTATTCATGATTTGTTCACACACTTGATTTTCTATAGTCATTCGGGGGGCGATTAGGGATTCACTAACTAGCCCCTATCATAAACTTGGCTCGATTTGCGGGGTCCGAATAATTATAAAACTGGTTACCTGACTCAATGATTGGAGGTTCGAATAGCTACAGAACTAATTATTACAGTTAACTTCCCCTTAGTGAACTTGCCATGATAGCAGGGTCTGCAGTAGTACCTTAAGAGTTGATTGAATTTTAAAATGCATGAATCTGATGAGAACTTATAATCGAGGTTGCGTCTTGATGACCTAAGATACAAGTTTAGAACTATGATGATGAAGAAATATACTAGTAGAACCATAACTCAGGAGACCTAGAGAACTCGAGAAATTTCGAGGATTGGATGTCCCTATTGGACCAAGAACTAAGAACTAAGAACTTGAACTAGCTTCCGCTAAGTTACCCTAAGTTAAACTTAAGTGGAACAAACTAACCTAAGGTTGTAGCCTAAGAAGAACTTATCCTTAAACGAATTCCTAAAAAGGAATAGGACACTGCTTACAAAATATTTTTTTATACTCACCCTATTACCTTCAATAGTATTTTTTATACTCACCCTGCTACCTTCCATAGTATTTTTTATACTCGACCCTGTTATTGAAGAATCACCGTCAATACCTCGGTGTAGGTCTAGGATAATCATTTGTTCCATAGTCTGGGTCTATTTACAACAAGCCAATTAAGAATTCTCGGATGTACTAGTACTAGCAAGTGCATCTTTGATGCAGTCACTCGGCTCTACTACCTTCAGTGGTATTTTCAATGGTATTTTTTACACTCGGCCCTGCTACCTTCAATAGTATTTTTTACCTGCTACCTTCAGTGGTATTTTTTACACTCGGCCCTGCTACCTTCAGTGGTATTTTTTACACTCGGCCCTGCTACCTTCAATGGTATTTTTTACACTCGGCCCTCCTGCTACCTTCAGTGGTATTTTTTACACTCGGCCCTCCTGCTACCTTCAGTGGTATTTTTTACACTCGGCCCTCCTGCTACCTTCAGTGGTATTTTTTACACTCGGCCCTCCTGCTACCTTCAGTGGTATTTTTTACACACGGCCCTGCTACCTTCAATGGTATTTTTACACTCGGCCCTCCTGCTACCTTCAGTGGTATTTTTTACACTCGGCCCTCCTGCTACCTTCAGTGGTATTTTTTACACTCGGCCCTCCTGCTACCTTCAGTGGTATTTTTTACACACGGCCCTGCTACCTTCAATGGTATTTTTTACCTGCTACCTTTAGTGGTATTTTTTACACACGGCCCTGCTACCTTCAATGGTATTTTTTACCTGCTACCTTCAGTGGTATTTTTTACACTCGGCCCTGCTACCTTCAGTGGTATTTTTTACACTCGGCCCGTGGTATTTTTTACACTCGGCCCTGCTACCTTCAATGGTATTTTTTACACTCGGCCCTCCTGCTACCTTCAGTGGTATTTTTTACACTCGGCCCTCCTGCTACCTTCAGTGGTATTTTTTACACTCGGCCCTGCTACCTTCAGTGGTATTTTTTACACTCGGCCTTCAGTGGTATTTTTTACACTCGGCCTTCAGTGGTATTTTTTACACTCGGCCTTCAGTGGTATTTTTTACACTCGGCCTTCAGTGGTATTTTTTACACTCGGCCCTGCTACCTTCAATGGTATTTTTTACACTCGGCCCTGCTACCTTCAATGGTATTTTTTACACTCGGCCCTGCTACCTTCAATGGTATTTTTTACACTCGGCCCTGCTACCTTCACACTCGGCCCTGCTACCTTCAATAGTATTTTTTACACTCGACCTTGCTACCTTCAATAGTGTATTTTATACTCGACCTTGCTACCTTCAGTAGTGTATTTTATACTCGACCTTGCTACCTTCAGTAGTGTATTTTATACTCGACCCTGCTACCTTCAGTAGTGTATTTTATACTCGACCCTGCTACCTTCAGCAGTGTATTTTATACTCGACTCTGCTACCTTCAGTAGTGTATTTTATACTCAACCGTGCTACTTTCAACAATATATTTTATACTCGGTGGAGCCTATGTAGTGGTCAAGGTGGAGGCATTATTGGCCATCACATCTAAATCTAAATGTAGATTTGTTTTGACCTTGTATTTTAAATAGTCTGAATTTGTAGAAATGTCTATTAAATATAAAGGAACTCATTTAACTACATTTTAAAATCTAAAACTTACTATCAAACATTAATGTGAAAAATGTGAGCGAGAAAATGAGAACATTTTGGGAGAAAACAATGTTATCGGCTTGATAGCATATAAACAGGTGATAAGAACGGTCTAACTATTCACATCCATGTATAGGTATGACCGGAACATCCACATTACGCATCAATCCAAATTTTTGAATTCGATTTCTTTTTGGGTTGCATTCATGAATTGGTAGTTTATGCGAGCGGTAAACCCTACAAAGTTTTAAAACACATCTGTAAAATTGTGAACCCAAATTAATACGATGAAGCCTCGTAGATTAATGAAATAATGTAGCATGAGCGTTGGAACTGACTTCCACAGAGAATTAAAGACCTTTTTAAACAAACAGGAAAACAATAAAATCAAGCACTTCGTTGTGTTCTTTGTTCCAATACAAGCTATGATTCAGCTGCAATTTCCAGTGAAGCACCTAATTTCATTGCCACTGCATTGCTCTTTTGGCGCTCAGTTTCAAGCTGGCTGTAATTGCCCTTCTCCTTGAACAGTTGAATGTGGTGGTGCTTGCAGTATAGCTTCCCCTCATGTGCTATGTAGTTTGATGGGCTTATTGTGCACCCTCCATGGCTGCACTTGAAGCAGCTCTTATGGTACGCCGTCCCATTCACCGTTACCTTTTCAAGGGGATAAACCGTCTTGGTACACCCTGCACATTTGTCTCGGGTTCCAGCAAATAGGTTCGACTTCGCATTCGCTTTCTGTTCAATAATCCAATGCAACCCAACTCAATCCATTATTAATAGTTAAAAAAGCATGTTAGTTTTAGTCACGAAAAAGTAGATTACAAAACGAAGAAATTATACCTCGTTGTCGGTGGGTTTTTCTACCTTCACGATTTTCGGAGTTCCTGACAAAGAGGAAATTAAATTTTAGAACTAGAATATTCATTGAAAGTTGGGTCACAATCATGTGATAGTGGGGACAACAATTGTGCGGCACTTATTCTAACCAAGTGAACAAGTGAGCCGTGAGTAACTCAAACGTTATGAATAACCTTGGCATATGTTCTCGGGTCTCGAGTCATGTTGGGAGAAAAAGTTTAGAAAATGTGAGCGAGAAAATACATTTTAACGACTATAAGCAAATAAAGAAATATTGCCTTCAAAGCTTTTGTCAAGGCTGCCAGTTCTCTTGAAGAGTTGATCATAGTGAGGCCTGCAGTACAACACTCCCTCGAACGAACAATAGTTGCTAAGCTGCAAAACCAACATGTTCGAAAGATTAAAATGAAATATGAAGATTTGAACCTTGACGAGAACGTGTAATCACCTTGAGAGTGCCCTTGCAATGGTAGCATCGGAAGCAAGCCTTATGGAAGACCCTATTATCGGCGGTAAGCTTATCGACAAGATAAACAGTCTTGTCACAAGCCATGCACTTCTGTGTGGTTCCTGAAAAGCTAGCCATGGCTTCCTTTAATGTACCTCACACGGGTTCCCTGCACCGTCCCTTAGAAACACAATCGATCGACCGAACGAACAAAAACCGACACTGAGACGGAGACTAGGAGAGAGTGGCTGTGTGGCTATGCCAATGCAAATGCAAATGCCACTCTCTTGTTTTATTTTGTGTTGTGAGAATGTGTTGAAGGGATGTGTATAAATAATGAAAGAGGTGAAGAGATAGAAGGTGGAGATTAGTGATTCAAGCCTTAATTAACGATAAGCCAATGGATATTAAACTAATTTTTGGCTTAAATTAGAAGATAACAATACTAATTCAACGCTAACATACCCATATTATTACCAATAATCTCTCAAATTTGTTTGAACAATATCAACCGTATTTTTAAGATTATTATGAATATTAAGAATATTGGAATGTATTATTTTAATTATTAATGTAACATGTATTATAGATAAATATGATTTTTTTAAATTTAAATATCTAACCCAACCCGATAATAAAAGGGTTAGGTTGGGTTGAGTTGTAGACTCTATTTGGGTTGCTTGGGTTAACAACTTGAAATTTTTTGTTGGTCAATGCACACTCTCGATATGTTGGATGATGCACCGACCTTCTCGGTCGTATCATGACACTTCTCAATCTTGCCTTCACGTCGCCAGATGGATATCACTTGAGGGTTATTCTTGTCTATCTTGCATGTGAGGTCACAACTGGATAGATTAGTTAATTTTAAAAAATATAGAATATAAAATAAAAAATTAAGAGAGATATTTAACCAATATAAAAATTAATCTTTTAGATATTTATAATATATTTTGAATCTTTTAATTCAAAGAGGGCATTTGGTCTAGTGGTATGATTCTCGCTTTGGGTGCGAGAGGTCCCGAGTTCGATTCTCGGAATGCCCCAATTCCTTTTTTTTTTTTTCATTTGAGAATTTTAAAATTATAAAACCCTATTTTGGATAAGTTACTTCAAATTACTTTTATTGCCTTGTAGAAAACAACTTTCTTAACACTTTTCTTGTCTTCACCTTAATCTTGTTCTTGGTTCTTTCCTTAGTTTGTGTTATGTTCCAAGTGATGCAGTCTGGAACTCACATCTAAGGCTTCTTACGTTCCAAGCGATGTAGTCTAAGTCATAAACATGATGTACCGTAGGAGGTGTAGGGGTTTCTTGAGTTTTTAAGTACGAGGACATCGATCTTTTATTCTTGCGTGGTACATAGCATTTATCTTGTCTTAATGGATATGGGACTCGTGTTAGTCTTTTACTCGTTTCTTGTTTTTAGAACATTCTATTAGTTTCTTGGGTTCTAACGTTCTTAATTTTTTAGGCATAGGTCATAACATACATTCTTAAGCTCTACTCAAATCTCATAAATTATTAACACATTACCGTAACGTGCATGGTTGATACAAAATATCAGAGAAGTGATAATATGTTTCATAAAAACTCTAGAAATGTCTTGGATATTAGTTAGTGTCAACAGGTAATTTAAGGGCTTTTGGGTCATTTTACACATAAATCTTGCTTTAATCTCTAAACGTGTTCCAATTAATTTGAAACTTTACATAATCCTTGATCATCATGAAATAAGGTCTATTACAAAATTTCATGTTACTTGGACATCGTTAATGTCTTGAACCGAAGGTAATAGGCATAGGAGCATTTTGGTCATTTCTCTTTGTTTTTTTGCTTAGCCACTTATTCTTATCCAATAGTCACCCAATATAAACTAATTTCAAATATACCCTTAACGACGTTATCTTACCACGGTTAAGTTAACGTGTCAGATCAACTTTAAAATTTCATGGGAAGTGGAGTTCATTTAGTGGTTTATTTTAACGTTCCTCGATTCTCGAGTAAAACGTATGATTCAGGCTCTCAGCTCATGATTCTTAGACTTTTTCTTTCATATTGCCTTAATTTCAATGCTTAACTTAAGGTTCCTACTTACAACCCAAGGATTCCTACAAGTATTTCTTAAGAGATGTCTAAGATTGTTACTTACCTCGTCGTTTGTGTTTGGGACCTTAGTTCTTGAGCTTTCGATAACTGAATCACTCTTAAATTTCTTTGACACGCTTTTAAGTGGGGATAGCATGGTGAGTGCTAGTCTTCTCATGATCCATGGGAGGTAGCTAGAGAATCCATCCCACAGGCCATGTAGAACCCCAAGGTCAAGGTCTCTACCCCCTCTACATGCCAGCTCTGCAGACTACTCGCGTGATCATTACCTTCCCACAGGACGGATCCACCGTGCAGGGCAATCACTAACTACCTGCATGATCAACGCCCTCCTATAGCACGGATTTACTGGGCAAGGTAATCCAAAAAACTATCAAGTTACACGTCCATAACCAACCTCACGCCTAGCTCAATGGTAACTATGTAGGGGAATCACTAACTACCCACATGATCAACGCCCTCATGTAGATTTTAATCAATCATTTGAAAATGTCTATCTAAATCTCAAGATTCTATCATTGTTTTACTTATGGGAATGAAGTGAAACCATGAAACTAAAACTTACCTTGTGCAATAACTTCAACTAATTTTTTTTTTTTTTTCTGTTCTCTATGATCAATACACCTTTTCGTATAGATAATTTTAGAATAATCAAACTTTTCATCTCTTTAAAGCTAAAAGGTTGGATTATAATACTTTCACATGGATTTCATTAATATCCTCTTTTTTCATCAACAATGCTTGATAGATCAAATAAATGAATGAAATTATTATGAGACAAAAAAAATGTCATCAGGTCGGTATTTGGTCTAGTGGTATGATTCTCGCTTCGGGTGTGAGAGGTCCCGAGTTCAATTCTTGGAAATGCCCCCTACCTTTTTCCTAAACCTTCAACTTCCATTGGAGAATAATTTTTGTTATTTTTTCTTCAAAGAAAATAAAAACTAAAACCATGTCAAAAATCTTATAAATATATGTGGTCCCATGATCTAGTGGTTAGGACATTGGACTCTGAATCCAGTAACCCGAGTTCAAATCTCGGTGGGACCTTTTCTCCTCTAATTATTAAAATAAAATGGAGATTTATTGGTCTTCCAGCTCTTGTATGGAAATGTTTCAATATGAGAAAGGTATACCCAAAACCATCGTGAACAAACATTGACCCTTAAAGCTTATTTTTTTTCTTTTCCAAACCTTTTCCAAAAGTCTTGATCCTTATGAAACCTTGTTAGAGCATTCAATTCACCTTATGGCCAAGTAATTCTTAAGAAATGTCTAAGATTGCTATTTACCTCGTCGTTGTTTGAGACCTCAGTTCTTGAGCTTTCAATGCTCGAATCATTCCAAAATTTCTTTGACACAGTTTAGGAGGGGATGCATGATGAATGCTAGTCTTCTCATCCATCCATGAGAGGTAGCTAGCGAATCCGTCCCATAGGTCATGTAATCGCCCAAGATCGAGGGCTCTACCCCGTGTATGTGCCAGCTCCGCGGACTATCCTACATGATCGTCACCTTCTCACAGGACGCATCCACCATGCAGGGAAATCACTAACTACCCGCATGATCAACGCTCTCCTATAGCACAGATCCACTAGACAAGATAATCCAAAAAACTATCAAGTTACGCGTTCCTAACAAATCTCACGCCTAGTTTAATGGTAACCGTGCAGGGCAATCACTAACTACCCGCATGATCAACACCCTCATATAGTTAATCGATCTTTTGATATTGTCTATCCAAATCTTAACATTCGATAATTGTTTTACTTTGTGTTGAAGATGTGTGATTGAAGTGAAACTATCAAACTAAAATTTACCTGGTGTAATAACTTCAACTATTTTTTTTTTATCTTTTCTATGGTTAATACACCTATCCGTATAGATAATTTTAGAATAATCAAACTTTGCATCCTATTTTAAATAAATAAATAAAATATTACAAAAACTTAACATAAAGTGGGTATTTGGTCTAGTGGTTTGAATCTTGTTTCAGGTGCGAGAGGCCCGAGTTCAATTCTCGGAATGCCCCCTTCTAGGATTTTAGGGAAGGAATGAGATTTATTGGAGACAAAAGTATAAAATAAATTACAAGATTTCATTAATAATAATAAATTTTATAAAAATTGAAAAACACAATAATAGTTAAGGGCATTTGGTCTAGTGGTATGATTCTCGCTAGGGTGCGAGAGGTCTCGAGTTCAATTTTTGGAATGCCCCTGACTTACCTTGGAGAATAATTTTACTATAACCTATCCCTATGACATATAAGTAGATTGATCGGCCTGAAACCTCACCTCTATTATGAGCGTTTCTCCCCTCAATTTATTCGTTAAAGCTTTTATTCTATACCTTCCCATATACACTTCCAAATTTTGCTGGAAAACTCATCCTTACCGGAATTCAAGCCAAAAAACTCTTTGCAGCCAATTCTAGGGCGTTTCAAATTTCTTCCATATATTCAATATCTATAACTATGTGGTCTTAATTTTTGAATTTGATCCTAAGTCGTGTAACTAACCTAAAAACACAGAATTTGTTTCCATAGGCAACGTGATCTAGGACGTATTAGCTTTCGATTTCATCATCAAAAGTGCTCAACTTAATCTTCTAAAAGTAAAGAAAGACTCAATTTTGAAGAAAAATGGATGGTAAGTAAGATCCTTACCCCCAAATCATGGACGAAAATGATTTTCTTCTTTAATTGGACACACTCTGGGACTTGTTAGCTTTCGTAGTCTTCTATAGAAATGTTCCACGGAGGTGCAAAAATTGAATGGGATAGTTTCTCGTAAAAACATTTACGTGTAGGCTCCGATTGAATTTTCCAGCTTCAACCTTCTTTTAATGGCGGACCAAATTGGGAAGCTATGTGTGAGGCAACTTCAGCACTTGATTCCTTCACCAAACTCGTGGGTAATCTTATTTAGAAGGTGTAGAAGCAAGTTTGAAGGATAATGGTGAACTACGGTTCTCAAATTTGGAAGAAATCGGAGATCAATAAATTTAAAATCTCAAGCTTTATAGAGAACCTTAAACCGACACTAAAACTTCAATATTATCGTGAATGTGAGGTTGAGTTTTCTCAAATTTCTACCATAAATATCTCTCCCGAACACT